GGGAATGTGATTGAGGAGACAGATTGGGATCTGCTTGACGGCGGTCACACGCAGCATTTGAAGTACTGGAACGATTCATATATGTTTTGCGACCGTAGTAGGATACGCACCTTCGACGCAGGTGGGTTTTGACGGGTTTGCACCAATTTGACCAGGGGCTGCCTGGCTTGAGGCGGGCAGAAGCAAACCATTTAACACCCGGTGGTGCCCTCCCACCGTCAGAGACAATGCGTGGCGCTCGTGCTCTACGCCAATCGAGCTGTGAGCTTATAACCCGTAGACCTGTTGTCTCCCATGGTTAGGATATATATATATATATATATATATATATATATATATATATATATATATATATATATATATATATAATCTGTGGTACAGATATTGTGCCATCGGAATCATGGCTGAATAGGAAAACAATATGAATAATAATAAAGGGCAACAAGAACTGCGTTTTTATGTCTATTTTACCACTCACAGTTTTTGAAACAATTTTTCAGTTTGTTCTTTTTTTAGGGGGAGAAAGAAGGGACACCGCAACAAACCGATGCACACGTCCGCCATTGACATCGATCTTTAGCCATGGCTTCCAAGGTCTTCAGCCAACAAGTATCCGCATCTCTCAGACCCCAACCAGGTAGTCGACAACAACCGGCCGAGGCCAACTGTTTCGTCAGCTTTTTCATGCGGCTTCTCCATGTTGTAGGCTGTCCACCAGACCGTCTCTTCCAGCCCTGTCCAGCAAGTGCAAACATCGCACGACGGGGGTAACGCTGGACAGGCATGCGCAATACGTGTCCCAACCACCGCAGTTGATGCACTGAGATGAGCTCCTCGAGCGAGTGGCTTCTACGTCCCAAGACACGCTGTCTAACTTCCACTTTGCTTACGTGGTGCTGCCACCACACACGGGCAATGGACCGCAGACAGCGGTGCTCGAAGACGGATAGCCTGCGCAAGTCATCTTTACGAATGGGCCAGGTCTCGCATCCGTACAACAGTACATAACGAACAGTTGCACAATAGACCGGCCCTTTGATGGAGAGACGAATGTCGTGGCGACGCCACCAATTCCTCAGCCTAGAAAAATCGAGGCGTGCTCTCGAGATGCGCATCGAAATCTCGTCTCCAACAGCTCCGCCAGCAGTGATGCAACTTCCCAAGTAGATAAAGCTCTCCACAACCTCTAGTGTCTCACCAGCAAGCGTGAGTGCAGGCAGAGACACCTGCCAGTCTTGGAAGAGAGCCTTGCATTTGGATGGCGAAAACTACATACCGTACTTTGATGCTTCAATCGCCAAGCGGTTTAATGCAAGTTGGACGACATGTGGATCGTCACCTAGCAGACGATATCATCAGCATAATCCAAATCAACAACTCGACTACCTGGGAGGTGCTCAACGCCGGCGTTCAACGAGTCGCCTAGAGCTTTCTTCAAGGCATCCTCAATGGCAAAGTTGAATAGGAACGGAGAGATAGGGCATCCTCGTCGAACTCCATTGGAGCTCACAAAGGTAGGCGAAAGCTTGCCATAAGTCCTAACCCTGCCCGACGTCAGACTATATAGAGCGTGCAGGCTAGGTTTTACGGGAAGAAGGCCATCGACCACTTCCTAACCTCCGAAGAGGATGGACTAGGATATTGGCAGGGCGCCCATATCTGACAGGAGAACGAGTCGAATGCTCAGCCAAAGCCTTCGATTAAATGCACACCCGAAACGCAGGTGGTCTAGCACATGGTCAGTTCACTGACTCATGTAGTTTGGTGTCCTGGATCTTACCAGGGAGAAGGGCGTAATCCAACTCCCACTCAGCGGTAGCCACGAGGAGGCGTCCAGGACATGAGCCAATGGCACAACAGTAGCAGCAGTGAGTAGACCATCTGTCAGGATCTAGCCACTACAATCCTCAGCTCACCATAGGCTCTCGCGCTATATATATATATATATATATATATATATATATATATATATATATATATATATATATATATAATTCGCCCTGGCCGCTTCCATTTGGGCGAAGGCGTGAGGTGGCCATTCCATGACATGGTCTAGAGGCATGAAGAAATTGACCGAGCGACTTGGTCAGGCTGGTGCGTGCCTTCTTCCTGGATGGGGACATCGGGATAGTCCACACCAATGGCGCAGTCACAGTCAGTGGCGTCCCTGCATACCGTTTCTTGCACCCGGTTGTTAATTTTCGTTCCACTCTGATTAGTCTCACACACCTCTATTTTGCTTCCATTTTCTCTACATTCTATTTACACCAAACACCACTATCTTGCCCTTGGTATTTATTGTGGTTCTTACGATGTGAGTCGTGACAACCGGATCCCCGCACTTCGGTGCTCGGATCATAGTTGTTCAACTAAACTGAAGGCGGCCCATGCTGTTGAGGTTGGCGTTTGCTTTGTCGCACATATATTATTTGGATTAGTGTGACCACCACCTGTAAATCAATCCGAGGTCATTTGTTGCTTGTAGAAAGAAGCCACATTTTTCTAGATGCAACCCAATACTGTATCGTTGGTTTCGGCCGAGTACTAAATGTATACTGTGTGAAAGTTCCTTGAATGCAACCTGGGGCATCGATGTTATCCAGGTATGCAGCTACTCCTAGTAATCCCATCAGTATAGGGGTCCATTGTTCTCCAGAATATGGTTTTAACAGATTTTACTCCAAATGATTAACCTTTGGATTAGAATACCCGCCTTAAAGATTTGAAGGTATGCATCGACGGAATGTAGCCTTGCGAAACAAGTGACACCATAAAATTTGTCAAGCAAACCCCGCGGGGCAGGTAGTAAGTATTGATGTGAGTGTAACCCGATTTTAACTCCAGTTGAGTAATCATCACATGTACGCATTTTACCATTTGCCCTTTTGACTGTGACAATACTAGCTACTCATAGTGCACAATTGGCAACCCGAATAACGGCGTTGTTGAGTACTTTTCTCTGCATTTGCTAGAGTGATCTGTGGTATTGTTTGTTCTGGTCTTAAAACCTGCATGGCATCTGGTCGTGACTAGCCTTAAACTTAGTACATTATCTGAGTCCATCTTCGAAAGCCTTGGCAAATTTCACCTTCAACTCATTTATAATTTGCTCTGTAATCTGTGGAATTAAAGTCAGTTGCATACTTTTGCATAGAGATGAAAGTAAGACATTCTTGAGTCCAACTCTAACAACCAAGTCCGGATTTTGACAGTCAGTGATATAAACTTGAGAATAATCCGCATGGATGCAGGTTCCCAGGTGACGGTTCCATGGGTGGCCGTAGTACTTCACTTGTATGTTTTATTTATCTACACTTATTGTTTTTTTAAAACCTCACAATCTTCCCAAAAGATTTAACCGACCAATTAGCCATGTCCGCCAAAAAACTTGAGGACTGCTTTGGAAAATTTGAGAAATATAACGTCTGCTCCTTGCAATTCTGCCGTACACTCAAGAATCGTAATATCCAATTGAACTGTACCTCGCACCGACGAGGAATATACCGTTGTTTTTTATTCGCCACAACTTCATATTGCCCATGCAAGAGCATGGTACTACCTGTAACTATTTGCTCTGTGCCACATATGAACGCAGCTTCTCACTTAAAGAGAAATATACCCATTATTATTATTATTATTATTATTATTATTATTATTATTATTATTATTATTATGGAGTTGCTCCTGAGGACTGCACATTGTTACTAGACACTTCACATATCAGCTCTCTGGTTAACCGTAGCGTACTGTCTAGTGCCCTTCTATCATGGTGATTAGTGACTGGCACTGCAACCTTCCCATTTACTTCTGAATGAGAACGTGGACCTAATGTTATCTCCAGAGATATATTGTGCTTAAGATGTGCTGGAATATTTTTGAAAGTCAACCCATTTCGAAGGTTGCAAATATCGAGGGCGGCTCTTGTATGGCTGCTTGTTTAATATCTAGCTGAACTGTGAGCTCCTTTTTGGGTGGTGGGCTTTTCTGCATTCCCTGAAAGACTGGTTTTGTGTAACACTGCTGTTTCCGAAAGGCACAAGAGCAGTCACAATGCCATTCGCCACTTGACCAATAAGACATTGAGAGCAATTCGGTAGATCGAACATCTGCTCGTATCGATGCATGAGCACTAGTTGAACCTGCTCTTCGTAACCCGTACCATGGCAGTATCGTACTTAAGACCAAGAGGATGCTGGTACTCAATTATGAGAGATTTCTCGGTGCTATTTGTTGGCCCACAAGTTTGGAAAACATTCGTAGGCGCGTACTCGACTTTCGGGAAGAATGAAAATTAGCGTTTAACATCATACATTTTAACCGGTCATCTGCAAAATTCCTAGCACTTACTGTTTACGATAACTGGAAATCCATTCTTCAAAATGTTTTCCAGCGTTTGTGCCATTGGTAGAAAATGAGATCAGATACAAGTTCTTAGTGGAATTCCGAAACGGATGCCGTAGTGGTATTAGCTGAGGCAACCAAGCTATTTTTTGATGGAACCGCTAGTTGAAGAGAGATACTGCTAAAGATATCAGTTGAGTTGCAGCTGCTGCTCCTCCAACTGCGCTTGTTGCTGTAGAATTGTTTTCAAATCCTCGGTTGAAGTGGCATTCTGATTCGCTTTGGTACCACGTCGTTAGTGTTCTTTTCTTGGTGTCCGCCAATCTGTCAAATTGTCACCAACACGGTCAGGGGCAAGTAAAGTACATTTGATCGGAGACGTGTCTCCGTGTACTTGACGCGAAGAAACAGAATTTTGCTATAAGGAAAGTACGTCATATTGCGGAGTATAATCAGCGATGAACTAAAGTTTACAAACGGGCAAATGTGTTTACTGGATATAAATGTCTGCAGAAAGAATTGATTCGTTCCGTGGGATTCCTTCTGTAATGCAATTCAAGCAAGATTACTCACCCTCAGGCGAATTTGATCAGCCTCGGGGTTTAATCTGGTCCAATGTCCATTCGAAGACCTGCTCTGATGTGCTCTTTTGCTTTTAGCCATCTACAGAAATTTCGAAAGCGCGTTACTGCGAGACTTTTCCAAACACTGCATCAGACCGGTTTATTCATTCCTTTCAACCCTCTATCAATCTCGTCGTGTCATGACCTAGTAACGAGACGTTTGACTATTCCTTTCGAACCCGTGTTTGATAGTTTTTGATTGCCTGTCACATTCCATTGCTTTATGTCATTCATTGTTATATTATTAGTCTTCACCTTCTCGGTTGTATCTAATCGGTTTCTTCATCGAACTCTGTTCTTTCTGACCGTCCTTTCTTGCCCAGTCCTTTTCTACCTCTTACTATGAGCAGTGGTGTCCGACGATCCTGTTTTTCAGTACTAAAAGATGCTTGCTCAAAATGGACTCCAGCTCGTAAAAGAATTGAAAAGATCACAGACCCACACACTGCCGGTGTATAATGAGGAGAAAATTCGGATTTGTTTAGAAGAGATGCGCAACCTTTATGAGGCAAATTACCGTGACGTCTCACTTGTATCTGGGTCCTCTGGGATGTCCCAGTCCTCTGTCACTGAACATCAAGCTGGACGGATACAGTGTGTCGTTGTACGCCATGCGGTGTTGGAACGAAACAAACGTTGTCTCTTGGCCTACCACCACGCTCGGCTTATGCACCTCAAAAGCCTACGATGGCACTGCGGCGCAGTATTGCCGAAAAGTAGGCTCCAGTGTATTATGCGGTCTCGATTTCATTCTGGCTATTTGTATTGTATCAGGTTTCTCTTTTTTGCACCCGAAATATTGTATTTGTCTGCGAGGTACCAACCGTTTATTCGCTCGTAACCATCATATATACTTAGTTGAATAGTTATACTAATAATTATAGCGGATTTAACGGTTTCACGGCATTTATATAGGAGCTGTATGTAGAAAGAGAAAAGAAAACCAGGTGAGAAAGTTCTAGTTTTACCTGTGGTCAACTGAGATTCATGGCTGTTCTGTTTGCATCCAAACCTTATATTAGCCCCATCTTCATTGGTTTTCTGCGTCTCGTCACTGCTCGTTATTGTTGTTACTGCGGTGGTGCTATTCATAGCAGCTGTATCCCCGCAGTTCGGTACTTCGATCATAGTTGTTTGATTGGGCTGAATGATTTTTGACGATTCCATTGACCTTTCAAGCCAGAGACCCTCGGGCTCCTTGAGTCTCCAATCGGGAGCGCGAAGTGCTCTACCGCAGCGAGTGTTAGTGTTGGTTTATTCATACTTCGATCCCAAGTCACTCATTAGCCACCTAGCTTTCGTTTCCTAGCTAACATCGTGAGGACTCGGTGATATTGTCTCCAGACACGTGTCCATGCCGCCGGAGCCTGTGCATTGAAAACACGCGGCTCAGCAGTTGCCTGAGAAATCTATCGATAAACATTGTCATCACTAATATTGTGCTGCCATGGTACACCAGCAATGATCTGAGGGAAGTGGTTCTCAAGACAGCAGGTCTCTGAAAATTTTTTGCGCTAACGGACAAAGTCTCTTAACTGTAACGCAAAACTCACCGTGCCTGTCTCCCCATATTTGTACTTGCTTAATCCTAGGATATATCGGCGCAATGGACAGCTGGGACGGAAAACTGATACCCTGTCTTCAGACATGCGCAGAGAAATCTCACAACTACAAACGCCGATAGTAAGGCAGCTCTTAAGGCAAACCAATTATCAATCACCCCCAACTGATATCTCGAGAATGCAATAGCAACAGCAACCTCTAACCAGTCTTTCAGGACTGCCTTACTGTTAGAAGGGGCACCTAACGAACTCATCAGTGAACCCAAAGAGGATCAAACTTCATCCATTGTCCAGAAATCGAGCAAGATAATCACATTGGTTAATCAGTAGAATGTTCTCGCAAAATCCAATATTATTATTGGTTAGTAAAGAAAAGGACAGCGAAAGTTCAGGAAGGTCACTATGGACAAATAAATATCGGTACTCTGTGTTCTGTAATCATCTCGTGTCTGGTGGCCATTACACTGTCTACTATCTTACCTTTTTGATCGGCCAATTGGGGGCAGGCAGGTTTTCACTGAACAGCAAATCGGACGTTGGTATACATAACACTTACAATTTCTTGTCTGCTCACCGCCTATTTTGGGTGGTTCGAGAGGAATTTGACTACTGTTATTTTCCTGGCGTACACCCAGGTTCCGAATTTCTTCACTCGTAAGCAACTCAATGATACTAAACTCACAGCACGCCTCAGGTGGTCATCTATAACTCAGGATAGAGGTGGGTAATGATATTCATCATCGTCACCACAACTAATGTGCCGCAATGCAAAAGGATAAGAAATTAAAAAATTACACCACAAGATTCCAAGCAAGTATTATGATGTTAAATATTATATTATGCGTTTTGTATGAGATCAGGATTGCAGATGATGGACAAAGAAACTCACAACACAAACGCTATTGAAGTCGGTTCCTAGCCGCGTCAGCAAATCTGTCCAGGCAGACATGTTCATCGTCCTTCGGACCTCGGCCAGGCAGGCCGAATGCACTAACAGACGCCAGCATTGTATTGAGGGTTTTCATTCCTCTCGACCAAGCCATTGTTTGCCCCCCCCCCTTCTTCCGTCCCGACACGGCGTGCAAACAACACACGTCGCGCGAGTCCATATGCTGGAATGCGCAACACGTGGCCCAGCCATCGGAGCCTGATGCGTGATATACTGGTAGTGGGCTATTCATTCGCTCTTCCTGCACCAAATACGCGACGCTGAACACGCTCATTGCTCATGCAGTGTTCTCACCAGACGTGAGAAAAAGTGCAAAGACAGCGCTGATCGAATGTGACTAGTTCTTTATGTCTATCGACCTGATGCGCCAGGTTTCACAATCGTATAGGCGAGTTGAACGAACGGCTGCGTTATAAACTCTGCCCTTCAGGTCGAGAGTAATGTCGCGTCTACGCCACAGGTTGCGGAAATTGGCAAAAGCACCTCGAGCTTTTGCTATACCGTTCGTAACCTCATCTTCGATCCCAGGGCGCTAATATAGCTGCCCCGATACTTGAATTTCTGAACGACTTCTAACTGATCACCGGAAAGCGTTAGCGCAAGGGTGGGTCCCTTCCAATCTTGGAGAAGTACTTTGCATTTCGATAGAGTAAAGCATAGCCCAAAACAATAGACAGTCAGTGCTGTTTGGCATGTTTGGGAGCTATCACAGATTAGAGCAATATCGTCCGCATAATCCAAGTCAAGAAGCCGCTCCCCAGGATGTAGCCGCGGGACCTGATGACCTTCCTCCAGCCCTCTTCGAATTCGGGGGGACCTGCTCTTGTGGATGATTTACACGAGTTACTAGTGAAACTGTCGGAGCGGGAAATTGTCCCAACCGATTTTAGCCGCTCCGTCAATTTTCAAGGGAGGCTCACGATCGGAATGCGTCAGCCATAGAGGAATCGGTCTGACCTCCATCGCCTCCACATTGCTTGCCTCTGTCATCCTTCACAGACTGACTGGCACTCGTGAAAGCCAGATTCGTGAAGAGCAAGCTGGATTTCGTCGAGGTCGTGGCTGCATTGACCACATCTTCACTTTGCGTCAGTTGTTGGAGTACCGTCACATATATTGGCGGCCCACCGTTGTTGTGTTCCTCGATATCAAAGATGCATTCGATTCGTTGGATAGACATGCACTTTGGGACTGTCTCCTCAGGAAAGGTGTACCTGAGAAATATGTGAATATTATCCGAGCATTATATGTGCGTAGCTCGGGCAGAGTGAGGGCTTACGGCAAGTTGTCGTCGCCCTTTAATATCTCCAGCGGCGTGAGACAAGGATGCCGGCTGTCACCTTTCCTCTTCAACTTCGCTGTTGACGAAGTCATGGAAATCGCGTTCACAGGACACGACTTAGAAGGTGTGGAGCCACTCCCAGGAGAACGACTTCTTGACTTAGAGTATGCTGATGATATTGCCCTCATCTGTGACAGCTCACAAATGTGCCAAGCGGCAGTGGACAGACTAGCACTAGCTGTCCGTCACTTCGGGATTTGCTTCGCACCCTCGAAGTGCGAAGCGTTTTTCCAAGATTGGTCTGGACCGCCTCCTACGCTAACCGTTGGTGGTTATCAGTTAGAAGTCGTTCAAAAATTCAGCTACCTGGGAAGTTGTATCAGCGCCCGTGGGATTGAGGATAAGATCACGAATCGTATAGCAAAAGCTCGGGGCGCTTTTGCTAACCTTCGCCACTTATGGTGCCTGAGCGACATCACTCTTGCCCTGAAGAGTAGAGTGTACAATGCAGCCGTACGTTCGGCCCTACTGTATGGCTGTGAAACCTGGCCGCTTAAAGCAGCGGACGTAAGGAGGCTAGTTACGTTCTACAACCGGTGCCTTCGTAATTTAGCTCACATGTGGTGGGAACACCGCTTGAGCAACGAGCGTGTTCGACTCCTTGTTTATGGCACAGGAAAAGGAAATGAACCGCTCAGCACCGTTATTTCACGCACCAGGCTCCGATGGCTCGGCCACATGTTGCGTATGCCAGCCCACTGACTCCCGCGACTTGCGTTGTTTGCGCGCCGGGGGTGTGGATGGAAGAAGAGGAGGGGTGGCCAAGCGATGACTTGGTCGAGAGGAATGAAGGCCCTCACTTCTGTGCTGGCCTCGGTTAGAGCGTCTCGGCTCCCTGGTTGGGGCACGAAAGACGATGAACACGTTTGTTTTGACACACTTGCCGATATGGCTAGGTGCCGACCTCAGTGGCGTTCGTGCTCTGAGTTCCTTTGTCCCACCCAATCCCTCTTAGCCTCCCCCTTTAACTACGATCTCATTATTTAACCTTATATATGCATAGTAATTTTTTTGATGCACAGTAGCCGGTTGGTAGCTTACCGGAACAATGCCCATCCGTTACCGGTAGCTCAGCCAGCTTGCACCAGTTGCTTTTTTTCTTATTTTTATGTATTGCGGCACAGTAGCTGAGGTGTTCCCCACCTCTAGCTACCGTGTATGATGATGATGATGATGAGGAGGAGGAGGAGGAGGAGGAGGTCCACACCGATGTCGTGTCCAGCGAATGCTGTTTCCATGACTTCGTCAACTGCGAAGCTAACTAGGGAAGGTGACAGCGGGCAACCTTTTCTCACACTGCTGGTGATACTGAAGGGTAGTGACAGTTTGCCATAAACCCACGCTCTGCTGGAACTATCGGCTTACAGCGCTTTGATAATGTTTACGTACTTATCAGGCACACGTTTCCTCAGCAGACAATCCCAACGAGCACATCAATGGACTGAATCGAAGGCGCCTTCTATGTCAAGAAACACGACGGAGATCAGACTGATCCCTCTATGCTGGATTCCGAACATGAACCTACCTTGAAAGTTGGGACAATGACGCAGCGGCTGCAATCTGTCGGGACGATCTCCTGCTCCCGAAGTTTCACTAGCAAATCGTGTAAATCATCTGCTAGAACAAGTCCCCCGAATTTTGAGGAGGGCTTGGGGATTTCTATCTGCTCCTGCGGCCTTATGCAATTTCAATAGCCTGATCTCACGTTCGACTTCTGCGCGTGGGGGCGGATCCAAGGAGACGGCCTCGGGAGAAGGACGCTTAATGCCGGATAAAGAAAGCGATAACTATGATTAGTTGAGTTGCCTTACAAAGTTTTCGGCCCAATACTCCAAGCATTTTGGCAGGCTGTGGATAGCAATG